ACTGCTTTAGTTCATATCATCATCTTTCCTGAGCAATTTATAGCTTCCTACTGATCTTGTGTCTAGTGTTTCTTCTGGTTTGTTCGTTCTTTCCTTCTTTCCTTCCTTCCTTTCTCTCCTTCTTTCCTATCTTCCTTCCTTCCTTCTTTCCTTCTTTTTTTTCTTTTTTTTGTCTAGAATGTTTTGCAAAAAATGAGAGGAAAAGTGAGAAAGCAAGCCTCCAGGTCCAAGACTCAAACCATGGTCAACCATGTGGGAGTCCAGCACCTTAACCACCACACCACCTGCCGATCCCAGCCTGACGTGAATTTTTAAGCCAGGAGTGGGATTTGAACCATGGTCAACTACATGGGATTCCAGTGACATAACCATTACACTATCTGCTGATCCCAATTTATAAATATTTTTATAGCAAAGAAGTATGATAGGATGATCATTAAAATTCCAAGAATGAACATACGTTGCATTAGAATGAAAGGTAGGACATCAATAAAGGTCTGGGGAGGTGAAAGATGATACAAAATTTGACTTAGGCCAGTTCCGTAGCCTAGTATTTAAGGGATCTGGATCCTACATGGCCAATCCTGGTTTGAATCCAAGCAGACTGAAAAATGCAGGGCATGTATGCACAAAATCTCAGCAGGGTAGGAAAATGAAGAAGGGATTGCTATGTGACCATATGGCTTCATTGGGCAGTGTTTTCTCCCTCTCTGCCTGTCCCTCTCTGGCTAGTGTACATGCCTCTGAGAATAAAAAAAATTTTTTTTTTAAATTTCTGACTTAAAAAAGAGCCCTTCAGGCCTGCCTGTGGCCTAATGGGTTGTGGCAGCTGGATCCCTCATAGCTGTCTGTGCAGTTTGTGTCCCATACCATGCAACTGGAAGAACACAAGTGCATGTGCCTAAGTAGCCATAATCCCAAAAGGAGGAAGAATGGAGGAGAAAGGATTACAGCCTGACCATTATCCAGTGGGGGTGAGTTTTCTCTATCCCTTGCTCTCTGCTCAGTGCATGTACCCTTTGGCAAATTTTTTTTAAAGAAGTTCATTTTTTCTTACTGCATAGTGGTAGCTATCAAGTCCTACGATGTTTAGATTCTGTTGGAAGTATTTTTAAGTATGCTAGAAATTATATCCTTTATAACTTTTAAATGATAAAAAAAAATGTCAATTTAGAAATATGTAAAATAGTACTTAGTTTTTCATAATCTGTTTGGGAGTACACAAGTAGAAATTTCAAGGACCTTGATATATAGTCTCCAAGTTCAAAAGAAAACGATAGTAATCTAATCCAGTCTCACACCCAGAATTTAGTATGGTTATCTAAGTAAATCACTGCAGAGATTTTTAACTTGTCAAAATGTGTATGTTTGATTTTAAGTAGTAATTCTTCCTAGTAATTCTCACTCCTAAAACATACATTTATTTCATGACAAAGATTTAGTTTTCCTAAGTTCTTCTCTAGTTAGACATTCAGCTCAAATAGCTATGACATTTGCATATGTTGTCATGATTTTGCACCATCCATCGAAACTATTATGTCTGAGAGATACTACAAACTTAAGAAGCTATGGGGTTGGAGGGACCAGCAGTTAGTGTAATGGCTATGTCACTGGACTCTCACGTAGTCGACTGCGGTTCGCGTCCCGAACCTGGTGGCTTAAAACTCACACCAGGTGCGTGTGCGTGGGTGCCCAAGATCCCGAGAGGAGAATGGAGGAGAAGGGATTGCAGTGTGACTATCCCCCCTGGGGGGGGTGATTTCTTGCTTTCTATGTCTCTGTCTCTCTGTCTGGCAAGCACACGTACCCTATAGCAAAAGCCTCTTTAAAAAAAAAAAAATAAGCTATGGGGAGGCACAAGCAGATGGCATGTTTATGTAGCTGAATTCCCATGTAGTCCACCATGGTTCTTGTCCTGAGTCCAGTGGCTTGAAACTCACGCCGTGCATGTGTGCATACATGCCCAAAATCCTGAGAGGAGAATGAAGGAGAGGGGATTATAGCATGGCTATTCCCCCTGGATGATGATTTCTCACTTCCTATCTCTTTATCTCTGTCTGTCTGGCAAGCACATGTACCCTATAGCAAATCTCTCTCAAAAAAAAAAGGGGGGGGATTATTTTCCATTTATGGAAACCCGGGACTCGCATTCTGTGAACACTAAAAAATTGGGTTTTAGGCTACTCAGTGGTGGTGTGGTGGTTAAAGTGGCTGGATCCCACCATGGCCAACTGCATGATTTGAGTCCCATACTCGGTGGCTTGAAAATCATGCTGTGTATGTGTGTGTGTATGTGTATGTGTGTGCACGACCAAAATCCTGAAAAAGGATTGTAGTGTGAGCATTCCCCATAGAGGGTACTTTCTCAGTTTCTCTCTTTCAGTTTCTCTGGTGAGTGCACACACACTCTCTGGAAATTTTTTATATAGTTTTATTTAATAATTTTTACTTAATAGGATTTTTTCTCTTAAAATTTGCTTTGGCTGTCTACATTGTGTCTGCCTGTGTTTGCATATGTAGTGTTTTTTTCAGTCAGCCTTGCTATGTTGTGATCCTCCAGCCTCCACCTCCTAAAGCCTGCCAAACAGCACCATCCAGCTGGCATTATCATTGGCCTGTATCATTTTTTTTAATCTGACATAATATTCCATGGATGTTCCATAATTGATTTAACCTTTGACCTACTGATGAATATGTAGGTTCATCTTTTGTTGAGTATTTTGCTATTCAATGCAATTCTTTAATGAACATTTTTGTTCTTCTATCTTCATACACTCATGTTGTTTCTTTAGGGATGATTATTACAAGTACTGATACAATGTTGGGTCAAAAAATGTGCATATTTAGTTTTAGTAGATACTGCAAAGTATCCTTCTAAAAAAGTTGTACTAGCAGAGTACCACTTCCCTGTGTCTTTCCTGACGGTATTAATTTCAAGACACAAAATGTGCACTTACACACAAAAAAAGCAGTCTTTGCTCAGGACCAGCATTTGGCATAATGGCTACGTCACTGGACTCCCATACAGTCGACTGTGGTTCGAGTCCTGGACCCAGTGGCTTAAACTCACACTGGGTGTGTGTGCATGCTTGCCCAAGATCCTGAGAGGAGAATGGAGAAGAGGTTTAGGCGTGGCCACCCCCCCAGGGGGTCATTTCTTGCTTTTTGTCTGTCTCTCTTTCTGGCAAGCGTACATGCCCTATAGGAAAAACCTCTCCCCCCAAAAAAGAAAAGCCATAATTTTCTATCAAATTGAAATACCCCACTCACATTTCTAAATACCATTTCTGTAGCACTCACTGCTTTCTACAATATCATTCTATTGTTTCTGTCCACTTAGTCTAGACTGTCAGCTCTTCAATGGCAAAGGTTTGGGTTTTATTCTTTTGTTCACTGCCTGGCACATGTTAAGTAAGCACTTATGTAGATTTATTGATCCAAATGGCCTTTGCACGTGTAGGATACATGTGAGTTTCAGCCGTAGCTCAATGGCTCATCTGTCCCTGATTGTGTGTGTGTGTGTATACATCTCACTGACCAATAAGAAAGTACTCTTAGGAACAGCAACATTACACCAGAGAAAACACCCTATTCCACTGTTAGCAGGCCACCTGGGGAAGTAAGTGTTCCTTCCTACTCTGGACTCCCAAGGCAGTTGATTGGCAAGATAATACAGCCTGAGCAGTGCTGGCCATCCAACCACCTCTTTGCTTATTTTAGCCCTTCCCTTCCTGTTTCTCCACTGCCAATGCCTTAGGGGGCCTCCCCAAACAAGATCTAACCCTAGTAAAGCAGACACTCCACCCAAGCAAGTGATTTCACTGGTCTTCCTTACACCAGGCCCAATCCACTCCCTACCAGCCCTTTGGCCCACACCCTTTCCATTAACAATGGCAGCTTAGTCAAACAGTGAACCCAGGTTGGTAGAGTACCAAGTTTCATTGTTTTTCTCAGGCCAGATTTTGGATGTGAGATACCAGAGAAAACAGAATCGACATTGAATTCTAAGTAGCTGGAGTTGCTGATTTAATTGTTCATCCACCATTTTCATTTTGATTATACATATAAAAATTCTTGGGACCAGCAGGTGGTGTGGTGGTTAAGAGGACTGAACTCCCACATGGCTGACTGCGGTTCGAGTCTCAGACCTGGCAGCTTGCTTTCTCACTACTCCCCCCACCCCCCCATCTCTCTCTGGTCAAATTAAAATAAATCATTAAAGTTCAATAAAATAATTCTGAAAAAAAAAAAACTTAGCTTACCGCGTATTTCCTTCACATTTATCAACTGAAATATTTATGCCTTCAGGACATAGTACATCTTGGTCTGTTCCCTACTTCATCATCTCTCCCTAATAGAGCAGCATAGGGGTAAAATCTGATGACAGACTTCCGCAAAGTATAGTTCCTGAGGAACAGACATTCCAGAGTAAGAATTTGAACATGAGATGGAAAGAGACTTGGTGGATGGAGTAGGAAGCTTCTATTAGAATGTCAAAGTAGTGGAGGGGAATAACAAAGACCAGACATAGCTCCACTTTATTATAATTAATTTGCAGTGGGCGGTAAGACAGGCACCAAGCCAGCATCACCACTTTATAAATAATAAATCTTTCTTCTGTGGTAGTGGCGTTGTGAAAGATGTATGGTAAGGTTGCATCAGGATGGTGAAATATCACCAAATAAGTTGGGACTGTCTGGAAAAGCATTTGTGTTTGGAAAGGGATCATTCTACCTATTAGTCCAGAACACCTTGAAAACAGCATAGCAATAATCTGGGATGCAACACTTAAAAGCAGATGTCATTGACCAAAGAAAGATAGCCAGTAGCTGGGATATTCATAAAAACAGTCCTCTGTGTTGAGGTTCTGCATTTGTAGAGTCATCCAAATATTGTTCAAAAAAATAATATAGTAAAAGTTACTTACATTTACATCATATAAGTAATATAGAAATGACTTACCGTATACTTTGTTAATTTATATTGATTTCTCATTGAAGGAAAAACTTAACTGAACCTAACAATTCAACTATGGCAGAAGTGAAGCCTATGTTCCGGGAAGTTCTTCCAAAACAAGGTATCTATTGTCACAAATACTTAGTCATAGATTATTACAGGGACCTACAATGCAATAGACAGTATTTCCTAAGAGGCTTAATAGCTAATTACCTACAGCTACTGTGTTCTATAGGGCTCACTTTCCACTTTTACTATGTATTTTTTTCCATGAATAGCTTGTAAAAAGGAATCATTTTTTAACCCTCAGTAACAGGACCAAAATTATGCATTCCAGACTAAGATTTCATACCTTTGAAATCCTGTTACACCCAGAACTGATTACAGTATGAAATTTTCAAAAAGAAATAAACATATTAAATAAGATCTCAAAGTGGGAAATAGAAACCTGTATCAACCAAATAGTTGGGATCAGTGGGAGTGCTCAGAAAAACATATTTAACAGACACAAGAATGTAAGGTTGTTGGAAATGAAATATATGGTAATACCCTTGATTTTTCACACTGTGCATGCTTTGAAAAACCATAGTGTATACCATAAAGATGTACAAATAAGTTAAAAATAAACAATAGTAATAAAAGCTTAAAGTTTTAAATTTAACATTCAGCAACTTGAATATTCATGTTAAATTAATACCATACCTTGATATGTACAGATTTTGTGCATTATGTATATATTCTCCCAAACATTATTTCAGATTAAACATTTGGCACAAAATGTTGTGTCTTCTGGTAGCTTAGTTTTTGTTTTTTGTTTTTTTAATTTTTTTTCTGGTAGCTTAGAGTCTTGGGTAGAAACTTCAAAATTTTTCTTCCTCAAGAAAACTCAAGTATTAAGACATGTTGCCTAGGAGAAAATTTCTTGTACCTATTTGAACAGAATCCTAACTTGTTTCCTGGTTTTAAGTTTTAAGCAAAGCTCTTGATTTATTAAAGCTAAAACTTTTATTGAAATTAAAAATATATATTTAAAAAAATACCTATTTAATGACCATAGTAAGCTAGGTAGCATCAGCTAGGTACTACTGTATAGTATATTCAGTCAGTTTCACACCTAAAGTCAGACATGTATTCACAGATATGTATATATCAGCTGAACTTGCTATTGAAAGTAGTTAAGATTATTTAAGAAATTTTGTGAATCAACAAAATGGGGGAGGGAGAAGGAATGGAAAACAACTGTAGACACCAAAGATAGTGTGGGAGGAGGGTGGGAAATGGTAGAGGGTGAGAAATAGGAGGAAATATACATACACACATATATATATATATATATATATATGAAACTAGAAAATTATTGTTAATAACATGATTAAGCCACTATACAGTATATTCTGGATGGAAAATCATTTTGTGTGCTGTGACAATGCTCAGTGAATTAATGTAAATTAATTAAAAAATTTTTAAAGAGAAAAAAAGAGAGAAAAATGCTGCCTATGAGCTAACTCTGCTTTCTGGTCCCACAGCCAAATCCAGTCTAGGAACAGGGGTTTTTCATTGACAATGTGGGGAGAGGGGTCTTTTTTTTTTTTTTCCCTTAATTTGCTAGAGGACAGGTGAGCTGGGTTGGGGGGAGAAAGGACACCACCCACCACCCATGGGAATAGTCATTCCACAATCACTTCTCTTCCATTTCTCTGTCTGGGACATAAACCACACTGTCTACCATGTGGGATCCAGGCACCTTAACCACCGCTCCATGGGCTGGTCTGGATAAAGTATTTTAGATCTTAATTCTAGCTAAAGATCCAAACAACCTGACAACTGGTCATCATCATACTAATACTTTTCTCTTATTAAACTTAGGGCAGGTGTCTGTGGAAGATGTGACCACAATGGTGCTGTGTAAACCCAAACTTTTACCCTTAAAATCTCTTACTCTGGAAAAACTGGAGAAAATGCAGCAAGCAGCACAAGATACAGTTCGCCAACAAGAAATGACCGAAAAAGAACAACAGCCGAAAACCCAGTGACTTACAACGTTCTACACTTAAGGGAGCATCTACCTTATCCATTTAACAATAACTAGAAAATAATTTGTATGCTGAAAGTAGTATTTGTTAATAAAACTGATAATATTCATATAAATGATACAAAAATACCCAAGATTGATGAAACTTGTATTGCTTGCTCAGTTTACGTTAAATATTCTGGTTTGTATCATAAGAATAAGCAGTTAAAACTGAACCAAATGTTAGGGATTTTTTAACTCAAGTCACATTTTTAGTACTGCAAATCATCATTCACTATATTGCTATTGCTAACAATTTTACAGATAACATTCTTGGGTGTAAGTGACTAAATGCAACTTTTGTACAGAGGATCTTTACATGTTTATTAAAAGCTGGATTTGAAGATGTATTTTAATTTTGCACAAAGTGTTTTATGATTAAAAAAAATTTAACCTGTTTTTGTGTGCCATGTTATGTTTAATGCTATCTTTTTTTTTTTCTTTTTTTGGAGAGGGTTTTGCTATAGGGCGCGTGCGCTCGCCCGAGACAGAAAGCGAGAAATCACCCCCCAGGGGGGATGGCCACGTCGCAATCCCTTCTCCTCCATTCTCCTCTGGGGATCTTGAGCATGCATGCACATGCACAAGCTCCCGGTGTGAGTTTAAGCCACCGGGTCCGGGACTCGAACCGCAGTCGACTACGTGGGAGTCCAGTGACATGGCCATTACGCTAATTGCTGGTCCCTGTTTAATGCTATCTTGATCCCATCAGTAATTTTTTTTCTTTTGGTTGCTATAGGGTATGTGCATGAGAAAGTGCAAAATCTCCCCACTAGGGGAGATAGCCATGTGGCACTCCCCTCTCCATTCTCCTATCAGGATTCTGGCCATGCATGCACGTGTCCAGCATGATTTTCAAGCCACCATGTTTGAGACTTGAACTGCATACCCTTCTTAACCTCCACACCCACCTGTTGGCCCTGAGAAGACTATTTCTTAAACAGATTTGATTTTAAGAAGCACTTACCTATTTTCTAGCAAACCAAGCTTTTAATTATACTAATATTAAGGACCTCAGAATTATATTTACAACCTTGATCATCCAGGAATCAAGCACAATTTAAAAAATGAAAATGGTGATTACTGGGCATGATGGTTAAGGTGCTGGACTCCCACATGGCTGACAGTGGTTCAAGTCCCAGCCTGGATGCTTGCTTTCTCACTTTCTTGTGTACAAAAATAACAAATAAAATTAAATAATTCCTTAAAGAGACTAGCAGATATCATAATGGTTACATCACTGGACTCCCACATAGTCAACTGTGGTTCAAGTTCCAGACCTGGCAGCTTAAAACTCATACAGGGCACGTATGTACGTGCCCAAAATCCCAAAAGAATGGAAGAGAAGGGACTGTGGCGTGGCCATCTCCCTGGGAAGTTTTTGACTTTCTGTCTCTGTCTCCCTGGCAAATGCACACACCCTGTAGCAAAATGTCTCTTAAAAATTTTTTTCAACTGATAATTTTTTATACATGCCTAATAAGGGCTTCTAGGAGCCCATAATATAAAAATGAACATTAAATTTTAAACTTTTTTTTGAGGTTTTTGCTGTAGGGCGTGTACACTCGCCAGACAGACAAGAGACAGACAGAAAGTGAGAAATCGCCCCCCAGGGCGGATGGCCATGCCAGTCCCTTCTCCAGTCTCTTCTCAGGATCTTGGGCACACGCACACACACATGCCCAGTGTGAGTTTAAGCCACTGGGTCCGGGACTTGAACCGTGGTTGACTACATGGGAAGTCCAGTGACATAGCCATTACACCATCTGCTGGCCCCAAAGAATTTTTTTTTTTAGGAGGAGGTTTTTGCTACAGGGTGTGTGTGTTCCCCCAAGAGAGAGAAAAAGACAAAGTGAGAAATCGCAACTCTTTCCAGGGGGGATGGCCACGCCGCAATCCCTTCTCCTCTTGGGATCGTGGGCATGCATGCACATGCACCCAGCGTGAGTTTAAGCCACTGAGTCTGGGACTTGAACCGCGGTCAACTACATGGGAGTCTTGAAGTTTTAATTATAAGACTGTACCTAAACCTGTAATAGGTAATTCCTAGGAGTACTTTTATAAATTCTGACTCTCTGTTGGTTTGCTCCAGTCAATATAGGCAATTTAAATCAGCATAGATCTTCAGCCCTTATTGAGTAAATTAGGCTCTGCAAAGAGGTTAGAAATGTCATCACTCTTTAAATCATTGTTATTTATTGGTAGCTAGTGTTTTCTCAGAAACTTGAGTAAAAATGGAAAGCTTTCAGTCTTTATAGAATAATTTTTTATAACACCAAACCATTATTTGATAATAAAATTTAAGAATGATGCAAAGTATTATATATTGTGATTTTTTTTAATTTCATTAACTCCAAATTAATAAACAAGGGAGTAAAGGATGCATACATTTTTTTCCTCACTGTGAACTAAAAGAATTTATTACTGTACTTTTAACTTAAAAGTTTTTAAGAATAAAAATGTGCAGGGAATACAGCTTAAATTCAATAGGTTCAAATGTGCCTCCTAATACAAACCTAAAATTTAGTGTGTGAAATTCAAAAAATTTTTGAAAGACCTAAAATAAATGTACTTCCAATAAAGAATCAACACTGCTTCACATGTTTTATTTTGTTGTACATTCTTGTAGAACCAGGTTCATTTTTCCAGTTTTGTAGAAAAATAGATGTTCCAGCCACCATTTACTTACTGTCTAGTCTTTAAGACCAATCGATATGTTCCCTGGAAAGATGAATTAAGTCTCATGACTAACTCATTTTTAAAAATTCTTTAAGACAAAGAAATAACTTTTTTTTTTAACTCCCAAAGCACAGTATTTCAACAGCAGCAGCCAACATGGGGTTTTAGCAGCTTAACGTTACCCCCTAAATAAAGCTTTGTATAAACCAGTGATTTTACTACAAAAAACACTGTCCTTGAAAGAAAGGAGTGGCAGTCAGACATCAATGCCAAACTTGGAATGATTAGGTCATAAACACGGCACTTAGAAAAGGTAGCTTATTAGGATACTCCACTTAAGAAGTGGTTACTTTTTGTCCCTCCTTTACCCTCTTCTCAAAAAAAAATTTTTTTTAAAAAGAAAGAAAAAAACTTCTTTAAAAATTCCCCTTAAATGTAAGCTTATAAAATTTCAGAAATGCTTTGTACCCAAAACAAGTGTTAAAAAAAAAAAAGAAAAGAAAAGAAAAAAACCTGTGCTAACACCTCTTACAATCAGATACTTATTTTGTATAACATCTAAGGCTGCAAGAGTTCTTATATTCAGTAGCTTTCTGGTTTAAGACGACCTCCGTCTCCTTCACTTACAAAGCGCTTTCTACCCCTGTAACAAAAAGAAAAAAGGCATGAAAATACATTCAAATGCTGACATAGTCAATAAGAATATTTAAAACTTGGTATTTTTTAGTTACATATTAAGTTCTGAAAGGTTTCATTGTCATTTTTTTAAAAGACATGCATAAAACATTAAATGAACAGATCTGAGTAGTTTTTGTTTAGATGTTAATTATTAAACCAAGTTCATTATCCAAGTAGAGTCAGTAAAAAAACAAGTTAAAATATAAAAACTAAGGCAAACATTTTATTTAAAAATTTGGTATTTATTTCTATCATATTATCATTTGAAAGCAAAACAGTGAGCTAAATACACCAACATGCTGTACAAGGCGGTAAGACATGTTTTGCCATTTGCTCCATAAACTGAACATGAGTAATTCCTCTTAGCTTATTAGCCCTTCCAAAAGCACCTCACCTAGTATTTTATATTCAGAAAAAAGTACCTTGAAGGACAAAGATCTCTGAGTTGTTTGGAAATTATTCCAGCCTGAAAACATTCTTCTACAAATCGCTCAAGCACAGAGTATGAATGTGGTACATCCAGGTTAATGTCTGGAATTTCATTATAAATTCTCTCATAACCCTAAAACAAATTATGCATAGGACTGTTAGCCTATATATGCTATAAAACATAATCCATTACTATGTCATAAATCAATATTAAGGCCAAATGTTTATATGAGCTACCTTTAAAAGGTCTGTGGAAAATGCATATTATGAAAAAATAATGCTCCAATTTCAAAAACATCTTTTCCCAAAATAAATGAATTCCTTCACCAACTATTCCTCTACATATACTTCTCTACCTTTTTAAAAAAATACAGAATAAATCTCACTGTTTCAACATCATGCAATTTTATATAGGAACAATGCACTGTAAAGTATAATTTGTTAAAGATTTGTGTTTCTCTCTAAATATAAAATGTATTTTAGAAACAATGCACGAAATAGAACACTTTTTTTGGCGGAGGAGAGATTTTTGCTATAGGGTGCATGCACCAGCCAGAGAGACAGAAAGTAAGAAATCAACCTCCAGAGGGATGGCCGCACAGCAATTCTCCATTCTCCTCTCAATATATTGGGTACACATACACACACACACACACACACACACACCTGGAATGAGTTTTAAGCTGCCAAGTCTGGGACTCAAACCAGGGCTGACTATGTGGGAGTACCAAGATAACCATTACACCATTGCTGGTCTCGAATGAACACATTTTTTAAAAATATGTAAACTCCACCAAAGTGTTACTTTCCAAGCAATGGTTAATAAGAGGTACAACCCTCAAACACTACCATTAAAAAAATACTCCCATGGAGACCAGCAGTTGGTGCAATGTCTATGTTGCTGGACTCCTTTGTAGTCAACCACAGTTTGAGTCCCGGACCCAGTGGCTTAAACTCACGCCAGGCACGTGTGTGTGCATGCCCAGGATCCCAAAAGGAAAAGGGAGAAGGGATTGTGGCGTGGCCATCCCCCTTGGGGGGTGATTTCTCACTTTCTTTATGGCAAACTCACGTACCCTATAGCAAAAACCTCTCAAAAGAAAAAAAAAAACCTCACTCACATGCATACTACTACTAAATAAACCTAAAAGAAAACATTAAAGACAGTTCATAATTCTTATTCAATCACAGACTTAAGATAAAAGCTTAAAAATTATCCAAAATAATGTGATACTTACTCTTTTCATTTGGTCTACAGTAATGGTAGAAGACTTCCAAAGGGATTTTAATAAATCTAAAATCATCTTAAATGTACTTTCTCCAGTTGACTCTAAAACCATTACAATGGCCTAAAAATGGAATGAATGAGTGAGTGAATTTTTGGCTATTAATTTATGTAAGAATGTGCTCCTAAAACGTATCAGACCCCTTTTCTCTAATATATTGGGTTGTCAGAAGTCATAACGCTGCATAGAAAAACATAGAAAAATACATCACGACTTTTCTGACCCAATATAATGACTTTTCCAACCCAAAATGATTACATTTTATATCATAAAAATGTAAAACTACTTTCTCCTTTCATATTTTACATACACATGTGTTTTATATATATGTTATTAAAGAAACATTCATATGCTACAAAAAGAAACCATATTCTCTTTGGCATGGCAAGGTAACCTTACTTCATATACAAGCTCATGGTGAAAATGAGGTACTTCCAGTTCTCTAAGGCAATGTTCGGCTTCAGATATGTCTCCAGAGAGTAAGTACTCTTTCAGCAGCATGTCAATCTATTAAATTAAAAGTTGTGTTAGAATTCCTGATTTTTTAAGAAACTGTGCTGCCTAAGGAATTTATTTAATTTACCCTCTTGCCAATATATTACATGATGAAACAGGTCACAACAGCTGTCTGTTTAGGAACATACAAACATCTATCGTACTACAGTAACGATTTTCTAATAATTAAAAATAAAGCCTCAATTTTAAAATGGTTCATAAATTCAAAGCAAATGTGGTAGTTACTTTAATAATCACTAAGATCTACTAGGAGGTTTATTATGTACGAGTATATGGCCTGGGTTACCATAATGCTTAGTGCTTCCTTAATGAAAACGAGAGATTTTACATGCCACTAGAGGGCACTAACTGAAAGTCTCAATATGAATTTTTTAAAGTGGCACAAAGTCATTTCATTTCTATCAGGATGATTCCAACTAGAAGGCAAATGATGAGATGGTAACAGGGCATTACTAGACAAATAAAAAGTTTCCATATGGTTTCTCTTTCCTCTACAAGTGAGGATTCAATGACTAAAGGAACAAGGTCTTGACTCTCCTGCTCAAACTTTACAGTAAAAGGAGGCTATTAAAAAATCCACTCTGTCTGGCGAGCGCAAGTGCCCTATAGCAAAAACCTCTACCAAAAAAAAAAAAAAATCCACAGACCATGCCATTAAGAAAAATCTATGCATGGATTTCAAATGCTTTTTGCACCAAAATAAACTCATTCTTTAATTCCATCTTTCCACAACCTTTAAGTCCCCTCATTACATCTATGGCTCTAGAGAAAGAGTAGAATAAATTTTTTTCAGCACAAGAACTTTGACTGGGAATATTCTTTGCTCTATACTGGGTAGTCAGAAAAGTCATGGTGCACTTTTTGCATAGAAAAACAGAAAAACACATCATGACTTTTCTGATGACCCAATACATTGCCTGTTAAAATCACCTTTACATCTAATGGACATTCAATGAGTGAAAATTGGCTGACTTGATAAAATCATTTAAGTATCCCCTTTCCTGTTTTATTCATTTATTTATTTTGGAGAGTTTTGCTATAGGATGTGTGCACTCACCAGAGAGAGAGAGAGAGATGGACAGAATGCGAAAAATCACCTCCCAGGGAGGATGGTCATGTAGCAATCCCTTCTCCTCCATTCTCTTGGAATTTGGGACATGCACACACATGTGCCTGGTTTGAGTTTTAAGCCACCGGGTCGGGAATGGAACATGGTCAACTACATGGGAGCCCAGCAACATAACCATTACACCATCTATTACGCCATCTGCTGGCCCCTAAGTATCCCCTTTTCTATAACTTCTTTCAAAATATCTTACAATCTTCAGTGTACAGGATTTACACTTCTTTCGTTAAATTTATTCCTAGGTATTATATTTTTATGCTATTTTAAATGCAACTATTAATGTCATTTCAGAACATTCATTGCTACTGTTTATAAAGAAATGAATTTTGTATGTCTTGCCACCTTGGTGAATTCATTAGTTAATAGTTTCCTTTTGGAAATTTTTCTGGGATTCATTGAAATTTTCTGTGTACAGATCATGTTATCTAGGAACAAAGCTACTTTTACTTCTTCCTTTCCAATCTGGATGCTCCTTTTACTTTTTCCTGCCTAGCTGCCCTATAATCTTGACTATTTTTATACCTCAATTTTTCTAATAATTCATTTTTTAATGTTTTTGCCATATGACATGTATGCTCACAAGAGAGAGACAGAAAGAAGGAAAGTGAAAAATTACTCCACAGGGGAGAGGGCCACACTGTAATCTCTCCTCCTCCATTTTACTCTTAGCCTTTTTGGGCATGCATGAACGCGTGATTTTTAAGCCTTTGGGTCTGGGACTCAAACCATGGCCGGCCATGTAGGGATCCAGCACCTTAACTGCTACACCACCTGCTGGCCCCAATTCTTTAATTTTTTAAAAACCATTACAGTCATGACATTGCAAACACCAATTCATCTACTTTAATATATACAAAAGCAAAATAGTCAAGATTCTAATTTTCAGCTCCTTAATACTTAACTAGGGTGTGTGTGTATAAGACATGTGTGTGTAGAGACATAATGGCATAATGGGATGGCGTAATGGTTGCACTGCTGGACTCCCAAGAGGTTGACTCCAGTTCAAGTCCCAGACCTAAAGGCTTAAACTCATGCCAGGCATATGTGCACGCGTGCCTAAGAGCCCAAGAGAGCCAATGGAGAAGAGACTGCGGCATGGTGATCCCCCAGGGCGTGATTTCTCACTTCCTGCCTCTCTTTCTCCAGCAAGCCATGTGCCCTATAGCAAAAATTTCTTAAAAAAAAGAAAGAAAAGTGTGCATGTATATATATGATTAAAACTTAAAAATTATAGTCACATGTGGGCCAACAGGTGATGTGGTGGTTAAGGGTGCTGGACTCTCACATGGCTGACCGCGATTCGAGTCCCAGACCTGGCAGCTTGCTCTTTCACTTTCTCTCTCTCTTGCTCTGTTCCTCTCTGCTCAAATTAAAATAAAGTTAAATAAAATAGTTCTTTAAAAAAAAAAAAAACTATAGTCACATGAAAATATTATACTCAAAAATCAGAAGCACATAAACGTAAATCTAATTACATGTCTTCTCTTAAAGATCTGCAGATAAAGAGATTAAATACTTTTGGGTTTTTTTCTCTCTTTTTTTTTTGGTGTGTGGGGGGGAGATTTTTTGCTATAGGGTGCGTGTGCTCGCCGGAAAAACAGGAACAGAGACAGAAAGCAAGACATCACCCCCTAGAGGGGATGGCCACACCGCAATCCCTTCTCCTCCATTCTCCTCTCGGGATCTTGGGCACACACACACATGCGCCTGGCATGAGTTTAAGCCACTGGGTGTGGGACTTGAACCACTGTCGACTACATGGTGACAAAGCCATTATACCAACTGCTGGTCCCAATACTTTTGTGTTTTGTTACAGAACATCACATAATAGCCAGGGGAAAAAAACGGAATAAATCCGGCATTTTAATGTAGTAAGTTAATTACTTTTCCTTTTAAAGCACATATACAGGTAGTGAATTTCTGTTTGGCTTTTTTTTTTAATTCCTAGAGAAGTCATATACTTACTAGAGACAGAGGAGGAGGAGAGAGCATCCCCCGATGGGGTACAGCATGCCATAATCCTTTCTCCATTTCTCCACCCTGTCAAGATTCTGCACATGTATACACATGTACCCGGCATGTTTTTTAAGTTGCCAAGGCCAGGATCTGAACTGCTGTTGCCCTTGTGTGAGTCCTCTCCCTTAACCACCAGGCCATGGGACCAGCCCTAGGTAATGAATTTCATAAAAGAAAATTCATACTACCCTGATTTACTCTAGTGCTCCTATTTTATAACTTACAATCTGAGACTATCTAGTTTCAAATTACTCATATGAAAACAGGTAACAATTGAATAACTACAGAACAGAATATCTTATTTCAACAGTACAAGTCAGCCCTCAATATCCATGGGTTCTACATCCCATGTATTCAACCCACCAAAGTCAGAAAATATTCTTGGAGAAACAAAACCTAAAAAATAACAATAATAAGAGAAAATACAAATAAAGAAATATAGTATAACTATTTACCTCACATTTACATGATATTAGGTATTATAAGTAACCCAAAGATGATTTAAGTTATGTGAGAGGATGAGTGTAGGTTATTTGCAAATACTACAGATTTTATATAAGAGACTTGAGCATGTGTAGATTTTGATATCTGAAGGAGATTGTAGAATTAATTCCATAGATGCTGAGAGGGATGACTGACTAGATTTGAAAAATTTTAAACAGTAATATGACAAAAAGATTTCAGTCTTCTGAAGTTCACATATGGCCTTCTTAAAAGTCTCTTTTAACAGTCTTATTTTTTTAAGTCAAGGAAATAGTAAAATTTAGTAACAATTATACAATTATTGTATAATTTATAAAGGATATAAAGCTAAATACAAAAGGATTGAATCATTCACTTTTCAATTTGACTAAACTTAAGACTGAATTTAGCTAAAAGACTGAACTTTTGTCTACAAATTTCTCAGAAAAAAATACATAAAGTTAAAAATATCTAACAGTTACCTCTTTCACAAGGTGATTGACCGACTGCTGCCCACCGCCAGAGCCCCACACACTGTCTTTACGCTTTCCACCTTTGGACATACTCAGGAGCACAGTAGCCTTATCCAGAGCAGCTCTATAAAAAAACAAAAAACACAAAGGAAAAACTTAATGCCTGAGGTTTACCAAATGTTGACAAAATCCCATATGCATTAAAAGCTTTTGTATAACATAAAAGCAATATAAAATTCAAAACTCTTTTGAAAAACTGTATTTCAAAATACAAAGCAGAAAACATTGATTCTCATGTTTAAATTCTTAAGCCCTATTATTTCCATTTCTTATTCAAGAAAAATTATTTAAAAATACTACAAAATAATTGATCTACACTGAGAAGGAACATTTCACATATAACTTTTACTTAGACCTGGACCTTCCTATCCAGGGAGATCTTTCTAATATGAACTGAAGTAGCCCTAGAAAATTGAGTTAGTATCTAAACCTGAGAAAATCTAAGATACAGCTAAGTCTAAATCTAATTCTCCAAGAAGTTATCAAAATCATATAGAGGGAACCAGCATTTAGCGTGATGGCTATGTCGCTGGACTCCCACGTAGTCGACCGCGGTTCATGTCCTGGACCCAGTGGCTTAAAACTCATGCCGGGCGCGTGTGCGTGCGTGCCCAAGATCCTGAGAGGAGAATGGAGGAGAAGGGATTGTGGTGTGACCATCCCCCCTGGGGGGTGATTTCTCGCTTTCTGTCTCTATGTCTCTCTGTCTGTCTGGCGAGCACACGCGCCCTATAGTGAAAATCTCTCAAAAAAAAAAATCATATAGAGTAACTCCCCAAATATCTTAATTAGATTATAACTAATGATACCAAAGAACAAGATTTTAAAAAGATATTATTTTGTGACTAAAAAATGATCACACAGTAGGTAAGTACAAAATAAAATTGTAAATGAGGCTCTCACTAATGTTGTTCATCTTACTAGGACATTAAACTGCAGATTGTTAGAACCTGAAGGGAACTTAACATTCTGTTAACCAGTACTTTCATTTTATAAACATAGAAACTGAATCCTAGAGAAGAATGGTTTTACATGGCTTAGTTAAAACCTGGAACTTCCATGTTATAGTACAGTCCTCTTCCTATTATGCCAACTATCTCTCCATTTCAGCAGTGGAGAAATACAGACTAATAGGAAATAGGTGCCTACAATGTCCCATTACTGAAGTATTATTTTGATAGGACCCTGAAGAATTTTCCCCTGGTTTTGAAATTCTAAATAGGAAACTTAATTTACTTACCTGGCCTGTACACAATCTACAGTTCCTTTGTAACTATCAATATAGGTATTACATAAAATTCCATCTCCAACAGCTCTAGCAATAAACTGGCCCACCAACTATAATAAGAAAAAAAAAGAGCTATATAAAAAAAATCTATAATATACTTTTGTAGGACACAATTTCTATATACATATATGATGACTGATTGAATGGTGTAGTCAATACCTTAAAGACTTATTGGAATATTAAAAATATCTGTTTAGCACCCGTTAGTTATGCTTGGCATATACTTTAACATTTTAACCTTTAGGAGCCATCTGAGTGAGGGCCACATATGTTTGGCTGAATCCTTAACACCTTGACACTGCCTGATACACAGTATATAATGAAAAATATTTGTGTGCCACTCTGCGACACTGCTGGTGGGAATGTAAATTGGTACAGCCACTATAGAAAACAATATGGAGGTTCCTCAAAAACCTACAAATAGTATTACCACAGGACTCAGTAATCCTCCCAGGTATTTACCAAAAGAATAGGAAAGCACTCTGTCAAAAGGACACTGGAACTCCGTTTACTGCAGCATTATTTGCAATTGCGAAGAAATGGAACCAACCTAAGTGCCCAAGGACTGATGCTCAGGTGGAAAAATACACACTATGGAATACTATCGAGCTATAAGGAACAATGAGACACTGTCATGTGAATCAAAATGAATATGAAAGCAAAGCAAGTCAGACTTTGAAAGACAAACACTGTATATATATCCCCACTCTAATATATATACTGAATGTCTGCACTGTGTGGCAGAAACTGAAAGATCTGAAGATATGATAGTAGGAAGGATAAATGCAGATACCAGAATTTGTAAAGAGGGGAATAGATGGTAGCAGGTGGGTGGGAGGGACAAAGGAAAAAAGCATTTAACAGACCCAAAAGCACAAAATTTTCTACTGAAAATATCCTTGATTTGATTGTCAAAAATAAATAAATTTTTAAAAAGAGAAAGAGAGCACTGAATATGGAAGCCCTCGTGCATCTCTTCCCAATTGCATCCATCTTCCTCTCCTTGAAAATAAAAACTAGTGTGACTTTTGAAAACAAAATTTTTTGTTAAATGAATGACTTAAACTGAAACTTTTCTAAAAAAAATTTACAGACAAGGTTTTCTCAAAAATAAAACTGAGATTAAAAAATTTATGAGAAAAACAAATATTATCTTAAAAACATTATTTATTATAAAAATTGAAAAACAATTTTAGTGCACAATACAGGTGTGGTTAAATGACACACACATAAGACAGTACACTATGTAGTCATAGGGGAAGATACTTAACATATTTTTAAAGAATTTTTATTTTATGATTTCTTACTCATATTTAATCACTGTATATATCTACACTGTACAATATGGTGTTTCAAAGCATGTGTATAGTATGTGATAACAAGGTCAAGGATATATCATTTTCAACCAAGAACCTTATATTCTTGTGTCTGTTATGTGTTTCTTCCCCAGTCCTCTCCCACCTATCCTCAACTACACATTCCCCGCCCATACAGTTCCTGGTATCTACGCTTTTCCTCCCTTTTACATCTTTGGATCTTTCCAATTCTGCCACAGAGTGTAGATAGTAAGTACTTAACGATATTTTATAGTGTGATAAAAAAAATCAATTTTACAAAATAGCACAGATGGTATGAACTTGTTTTTAAACTAAACTAAAAAGTAAAGAGATTATAATATACACTGATACCAAGAGTGTAGAATGGAACACACCAAAGTATTAACAGTAGTTATTTTTCCTAGCCTTCCTTCTTTTTGGCTTTTATAGTTAAAAATCTCTATAATGAAATGTAAACTTCAAGTATGTGTATTGATATAAAGAGGGGAATTGGGGACAGCAGGTGGCCTGGTGATTAAAGGTGCTAGAATCCCACAGGGCTGGCAGCAGTTCGAGTCCTGGCACTGGCAGCCTGCTTTCTCACTTTCTCTCCCTTTCTCTCTCTCTCTCTCCCTTTCTCTCTCTCTCCAACTCTGGTTAAATTAAAAAAAATGAATAAATAAATTTTAGAAAAGAAAAAATAAAGGGAATTAAGGTCCATTTTGAATCACCACTCAGTACTTTACATAAACCGTAATTATCTGTCACAGGAAAGTGTAACAGAGATGGCGTTTAGGAACTGACCTATTTATTATGTGTTTCTAAATTGTTTACTTAGTGCTTATACTTTCATTAAAAATTTTGATAACTAAATAGCAGTTAGCAATAACTTAACATGTTTTTAAAGCTACAAAAGAAATGTCTTATTTATGACTATTTTTATAATAAACAGCTGTGCAAACTCAACTTTAAGAATCTACATTTTAAAAAATGCTGATAAAACGGCTTAACTACATACAATAGGGAATATAGAGACACCAAAAAATATGACCTAAAAAATACACAAAGCATGGTTGGGAGGGGAAATAGGATATAAAATTGAATTTATAGTATGATGAAGAACATATTTAAAAAACAAAAGATCAGCTAGCAACATATATACCAAAATCTTAGGAGCTATTTTAGAGGGAAATGTGGGCCATTTCTCTTCCTTCTACTAAAATTTCCTAGAACCTTGAATTATTTCAGTAACTGGAAGTGTAGTCAGGAGAGGAAATGAACAAAAAAGAAACATACGAACCTGTGGTGCTCTAGGAGTATCCAATGCTAATTCAGGTAGATCTTTCAATAGCTTATCAAAAGATTTTTCCACATCATTTGTGCTCATTACTGTCCCACACAGGTCAGAAAGCAGCTTAGATGTCATTTCTCTATGACTAGCCTTTCCTTCCAATGCTAAGGACACTGCCAAAACAGGTACTCCGCTTTTCATTTCACCAAGATTTAAATCTCTCAGCATTTCCTAGTCAAAAAATAAATAAGTGAAACTTAAAACTATTTCATTACCTATAAATCAGTAAAATTTATTTTTGAAAAACCAAGATTTAATCTATATTTCCTTACCTCTCCCCTTTGGAAATAACAGAAAAGCAGTCATATTTTGTGGGATAGGATAAATCCATCTTTTTCTACATATAAATTAGATATTAAACCATTATGTCATGTTTTAACCACCTGAACACTAAATTTAAGGTGTGGCAGCCAGCAGGTGGCGTGGTGGTTAGGGCACTGGACTCCAACATGGCCAACCACGGTTCAAGTCCTGGACCTGGCAGTTTGCTTTCTCGCTTTCTCCCTCCCCCTTCTCGGCTCAAATTAAATATATAGATCTTAAAAAATAAAATTCTTGGGGCCAGCAGGTGGCATGGTGTTTAAGGGCGCTGGACTCCCACATGGCCGAATGCAGTTTGAGTTCTGGACCCAGCGGCTTGCTTTCTCACTTTCTCTTTCTCTCGCTCTCTTTCTGTACCTCTCTGGTCAGATTAAAATACATACATAAATACATAAATAAATAAATAAAGTTTAAAAAAAGTAATTCTTTTCCAAAATAAATAAATACATAAATAAATAACTCTTAAAAAAAAAAAAGATGTGGGGGGGCGGCAGGTGGCATGATGGTTGAGGGCGCTAACTCCCAGATGGCCAACCCCGGTTCAAGTCCCAGAGTTCCAGACCTGGCAGCTTGCTTTCTCACTTCTCTCTCTCTCACTCTGTCCCTCTCTGGTCAAATTAAAATAAATAAATAAAATTAAATAAAGTAATTCTTTTAAAAAAAGTGAATTATAGCTAAAATAGTTTATTAACCTGTATTAACAGTGTTAGGTTTGGTGTTAGGAGTTAACTAATCATCTGCCTTATGACCTATGATCTATTACTGTTATTTCTAGGAATATCATTTTAAGAGTGTTTGTGGCAAAATTCATTTTACCTTATCATAAGCTGTTCATATTCTACTTTCTGGAAAACTCTCTCTTGAAATAAAAATTTATACTTTCATATAGAGCTTAAAATGAGATCTTAAACATCACTGTTCTTAAATGAGTTGTTTTAAATACTAGGATAAAATTAAAATTTCCTAGTTAGCAGTATCTATTGGCCAGCTATATATCAGGTACTATAATAGCCATTTTGCTTATACGATCTCATTCAGTACACACGATAACCCCCTCTTTTAAAAAGTATATGGGGACCAGCAGATGGCATAATGGTTATGTTGCTGGACTCCCAAGTAGTCAACGGTGATTCGAGTACCAGACCCAGTGATTTAAAACATGCCAGACACGTGCATGTGTGCCCCAAATCCTGAGGAGAATGGAAGAGAGGAGACTCTGGTGTGCCCATTCCCCCAGAGGGGTTATTTCTTGTTCTGTCTCTCTCTTCTCTCAGGTGAGTGCACAGCACCCTCTAGCAAAAAAAACCCCACCAATAATAATAATAATAAAAAAGATGGTATGGTTACATCACTGCACTCCCACACGGTTGACCATGGTTTGAGTCCCAAAATCCAGTGGCTTGAAACTCACGCCCAGCATGTGTGCATGTATGCCCAAAATCCCAAGGGGAGAACGGAGGAGAAAGGATTGCAGGTGGTCATCACCCCTGTGGGATGATTTCTTGCTTTCTCTCTCTGTCTCTCAGGTGAGCACACATGCCCTTTAACAAAAATCTCTCAAAAACACATTAAATAAAAAGTATCTGTATTTCTTCCATGAGCAAGAGAGAGATGAGAGAGAGATTGAGAGACAGCACCTCCAACAGGGTCTGACACCTTGATCCACCCCTGATCTCATGGGCACAGATAGACATGCCTGGCACACCTAGGGAGGTCTCTGGACACAAGCCCAAAACCTTCCTGTGTGGATTGGCCTCACAGAACACTGAATTTTACCACTGTACCACTGGCCCCTCAAAATGACCCTTTGACTATTAAATTATTATATCTAAATTCAGTTAATAGATACTTAGTACATGCTTGCTCCTAGGCTAGGTAGGATACCCAGATTTCTACAGGCCCTTCTCTCACAGGACTTAATTCTTCCTCTATAACAAAATGTTCCACATTATATTTTAATAATCTGTTTATGTATCATTTCCTTCATTTGAAATTCAAAAAGGCAGCAGTCATCTATCATAAATTCCTTCAAATGGTAGGCACTGAACAAGGATTTGTTTTATATTCATATTAAAAGATAAGAAGCCTCATGGTATCTGACAAATACAGGAATCCAGTCCAAACATTAAGACTGTAAATCATAAAACTTCTAGAGCATTAACAATTGTATATTACTTTAACCCAGTAACCCTAACTAGATTACTAATTTTTAAGCTCTCCCCCGTCCCCTTAGGGCACATTCACTCACCAGAGAGAAAAAGAGAGACCCAGTGAGAAGGAAAGTGAGAAATCACCCCCGAGGGGATGACCATGTCAAAATTCTCCTCTCCATTCTCTTCCCAGAGCCTTGGGCACGCATCACACGTGCCCAGCATGATTTTGAAGTCACCACGTCTAGGACTCAAACCACAGTCAACCGTGTTGGAGTTCTGCGATATAACTGCTACACCATCTGCTGGTCCCGATTAATCATTTTAATTTAACCTTTTAGATTTATCGATGAACAATTCATAATTAACATAGGGTACATGCGGTCACCAAAGAGGCAGAGAAAGAGAGAAAGGATTGACAAAGCAACCTCCCAAGGGGATGGCCACGCATTGGCCTACATTGTCCTACTGGACTTTTGAGGAAGCATACACATGTGCCTGGGGTGATACTCAAGCTGCTGAGTCTAAGATTCAAACCACACAGTTGACCATTTGGGATCCAGTGCCTTACCCACCACACCACTTGCTGGCCCTCTACATCTTTTTTCAATTTTTTTAAATTAAGGTTTTTTCCATAGGGCATATGCACTCACAAAGAGTGTCAGTGAGAGGGTAACTGAGAAATCGTCCCCCCCACCTCCGGGGAGTATGGCTGTGCCATAATCCCTTCTCTTCTACTCTTCTCTCAAAATTTTGGCACATACATAGGACCAGCAGTTGGCATAATGGCTATGTCATTGGGCTCTCATGTAGTCAACCACGGTTCAACGGTTTATGCCAGACCCGGTGGCATAAACTCACGCCGGGCACATGTGCATACATGCCCAAGATCTCCAAGAGGAGAAGGGATTGCAGAGTGGCCATCCCCTCGGGGGGTGATTTCTTGCTTTCTGTCTCTCTCTTTCTGGCGAGCACACACACCCTATAGCAAAAACCTCTCCCCCCAAAAAAAATTTTTTTTGGCATATACAAATATATAGTTAGCTTGATTTTTCAAGCCACCAGGTCTAGGACTCAAACCACGGTCAGCCATGTAGGAGTCCAGCACCTTAATCACTACACCATCTGCTGGCCCCACAAATCTTTTTTTTTTTCTTCAATTGCTACAGGGCACATGTACTCATCAGATAGAAAAAGAGAATGAGACAAGGTATTTCCCCAGTGGAGCAAGATTACACCATAATCTCTTCTACTACATTTTTCCATCCTGTTGGGATTGTGGGCATACATACTGAGTGTGTTTTTCAAGTTGCCAGGGCCAAGGCTCAAACTGTAGTCAGCCATGTGGATCCATTCCCTTAACCACTAGACATGAAGCCAGCCCCTTTTTAAAACCTTTATATTGTTCTGTTTTTTTTTTTTTTTTTTTGCTTTTCAGAATACTCCAGGTTTTATTTTAATCCTGAACACTGAAATAATGTCAAAAACATGAAACTTGGGCATTCTTTTTCCATTATTATTTTTGTTTCTTCCATGAGCAAAAGAGAGAAAGAGAGAGGACCTCCAACACAGTCTTAATGCCATAACCCACCTCCAGCCAGCCCCAGATCACAAGCAAGCACATGGCTCACAAAGTCTCTGGACTTGAACTAGAACATTCCTTTGTGAGGTTAGACTTGCAGAACATCACTTTTACCACTGTGCCACTATTTGGTGCCCCAAACTTAGGCATTCTTAAGTGAAATCCCTGAAGAGATTTTTATAGAATTCTTGAATGCCCTGAAATTGCTGAACTTTTATAAATTATTAAAAATAAAGTTAAAACGTTATGAATTGTTTAAAAAAATTTTTTAAATACTGTGCTTGTGCTACTTTTTGGGCACATAGTTCTCATCAGAGCCCAAATATATCATAACTAGTATATTAGCACAATGGCATTCTATTCCATTTCTTAGTCAGAAATGTGTTTATAGGAGCCAGATGCGCCAGCAACAGTCAACACTAACGCTCTGCAAGGCAGTCCCACAGGTGCACGTTCCCCGTTGAGGTATGAACACCTCTTTGAGTATACCAGGATGTGTGATCCAAGGCTGGCTGAGGCTGGGAGTGGAATGTGGTATTGAGACCTGTTACAGGTGCTTTCTCTCTCCTGTGCTCACAGAAAAAAATGAACTTTTCTTTAAAAATGTAAAAATGGGGGTGAGCCGGTAACATGGTGATAAAGGCAACTAGATCTCACATGGCCAACTGTGCAGTTCAATTCCCAGTCCCAGTGGCTTGAAGAACACACTGGGCATGTATGTGTGGCATGCCCTAAGTCCCAAGAGGAGAATGGAAAAGGGACTGCAGCATGATCATCCCCCACTGGCGTGCTTTCCTCACTTTCTTTTCTCGTTCTCTCCAGTGAGTGCATATGCCCACCTTGTAGCAAATTTTTAAAAACTAGATAAATTTTTAAAAAGAAAAAGAATTTATATAAAAGAAAATGCTTAAGCTTATTTAGTGGTCCAAGGTCATTCTAGATATGTTTTGCTTATAGTAGTGTTTTCTCTCCTATATTAAATAAATTGTACCTATAGCTTTAAACCTACCGCAACTTCATTAGTATCTCCATGCTCAAAATATTCCTGTATGATTGGTGTTAAGGTCTTCTCAAATGCCCTTTCATCCAAAGGCAAGACTACAGTTTCATAAACACAGTTCTCCTGTGAGAGGGAAGAAGAATTATAAATTAAAGAACAAAACATTCAGATAAATAGAACTTGTTTTACAATTTTACATCCCAGCTGGTTAGGGATCCCCATGGAGGGCAAGATAAAGACATCCCACATGCTTTTATTATGTTATAAAAATAGAATCTATATGTCACTAATCTAGTTCTATGATCTGAATATGATAAGCCAGTATAACAGAAACATCAACCACAGGAAATATATGACTTCTTCCCAATCCCAGTAACTTTTCTTAATTTTTTCTTTCTCTTTCAAAAGTCATCCTTTTAGTGACCACAAAGCTTAAGATGACATCCTATCATATACAAGGAGACTTCAAAACGTTCATGGAAAATATGTATTATGAAAAAGCTCTGTAAAGATTTTGAACATTTTTTTCCACCCAAGGAAGCCCATACTTTAATTCCATTTTTCCACACATGTTTTGAAGTCCCCTCACATAGTACTTTCATTAAAACTTCACTTTTTATAAAAATGTAGCAGGAGCCAATGTCTTCATGATTAGTATTATTACAATAAAATTATAAAAAAGATCAATGTTATAGTGACTGAGTAATTTCTAAAGAAAAAGCCACTGTTCAGGACCAGCAGTTGGCATAATGGCTACATCACTGGGCTCCCAGTAGTTGACTGCAGGTTGAGTCCCGGACCCAGTGGATTAAACTCATGCCGGGCACATGTGCGTGCATGCCCAAGATCCCAAGAGAATGGAGGAGAAGGGGGCTGAGACATGGCCATCCTCCCTAGGGGATATTTCTCGCTTTCTGTCTCTCTGTCTCTCTCTTTCTGGCAAGCGCACACGCCCTATAGCAAAAACTTCTACAAAAAAAAAAAAAAAAAAAAGAAAGGAAGGAAGTAAAAAGCCACTGTTCAAATAAAATTTCAAAAAGAAGTAAAAATAATAATGTCCATCATTAAAACTATCTTTCTTTCTTGTTACAAAATAGTCCTGAGATGTTTACTTGTTTCTTCAGACTATCTTCAGTCTAACACTTGAAAAACTAATACAGACGGAGCATCCCTAATCCAATAATCCAAAATCTGAAATGCTCTCAAATCCAATGTATTTTCTGCATCAGCATGACATCTGAAGTGGAAAGCTGAACATGACCTCATATGACAGGTCAAAGAACTGCAACATAAAAATATTTCATAAAATTACCTGCAAGCTACATGTATAAGGTGTACATGAAACATAAATGAATTGTTTAGACTTGGTCTTTTCACTAAGAAAGTTCACTATGGACATGCGCATATTCCAGAATCTGAACAAATGCAAAATATATCTGGTCTGGCACTGGGTTGTTGGAAAAGTCATGACATATGTTGTCTATATTTTTCAAAGATCACCTATTTATATAAAGAACAAAAATCAATGACATATTGCCTGTTTGTTTGAAAACACTTTGGCCATCTTTCAGTGAGCTTCATAATCCTTGTTCATAGGACCTGTCTTCATTGGCGAAAAACTCAACGAGGGGCTGATTTACAGCCTCATCTGAATTGTAACATCACATAAATAGTTTTGAAGAGAACAAAATAAGCAGAAGTCTGACACCACAGGCTCAGGTGAGTATAGTGGGTGTGGCAACAGATCCCATCCAAGCTCCAATAATTTCTGATGGGCGATCAAACTTGGGTGTGGTCTTGTGTAGTCGTGATGTAACGTAACTCCTTTTACAATCAATGAGCTCTGGACGCTTCTGGGTGATGGATTCATTCAAACTGTCCAACTGCCAACAGTACACATTCAAACCGATTGTTTGGTTCCTTGGTAGGAGCTCAAAATACACGATACCTGAAAAATCCTACCACACTGAGAGCATAACCTTCCTCTGATGAACGTCTACTTTCACTGTCATCTGAGGTGAATCATCTCGTCAGGACCAAGACCACTTGCACACACAGTGTTGTAAACAATCCACTTCTCATCACCAGTCACTTCAAAAAAAAAAAAGGATCATTTTCCTCACACTTAATGAGCATATCACAAATGAACTTGAGTTCATGAAGAATCCAAATATCGAGCTTGCTTACATATCCCAGCTACTTCAGGTGGTCATGATTGCTTGAATGATGTTCAACGTTTCTGCAATCTCTCATGTCATGTAATGTGGATCTGACTTGATCAATACCTTGATTTTGTCATCATCAATCTCAGTGAGATAAAATCATCAGCACAGAATTTTATGAACCATCGTTAGCACTGACATTCTTGTAAAGTGCCATCACCATAAACTTCATGCAAATTTTCACAAGCTTGACGCATGTCCTTCCCTTTACAGAAGTAAAACAGTAATATACGGCAAAAATGCAGTTTGGCCTTCCATCTTCAATTTGTTATAAAATCTCCAAACTCAACCAAATCACTTAATTTTTTTAGACTGAAGCTAGAACTGTCAGTTGTCAAATGATAAATCAATAGCATAGATGCAAATGACTCTAATACTCTAAGGAACTAGCACCATCTGTTGCAAAAACATGACATGACTTTTCTAACAACCAGTATTTTGGATGAGGGATACTCAAACTGTAAATATTTAATACAGTATCTTTGGTATTTCAATCCCATTTGTTTTAAATATTTTTCACATTTTCTTAGAATAGTCCCATGTCCAACTACTTGTTAAAATAGTTAAGTAATACATACAAATAATACACAACAAAATAACATACACTTGATATTTCCCTGTCTAAAATCATCATTAATATGTCTTACCTCTTGCAAAGGCAACATTTTCTCTACTTTTTTTTTTTTTAAATTTGCTATAGGGCACATGTACTTGCCAGAGAGAGAGAAAGAGGGTCCAAGAGAGAAAGAAAGAGAGAGAGAGAGAGAGAGAAACAAAGACAAAGAGAAAATACCCCCTGGGGGAACAGCTACACCACAATCTCTTCTTCATTCTCCTCTTGGGATTTTTTGACACACACACCACCCACCCACCCAGGGTGTTTTTCAAGCTGCCCAATCCAGAACTCCAACTGTGCAGTTGGCCATGTGGGACCTAGCTGCTTAACCACTATGCCAATGGCTGGCCCCACAAAGACAGCATTTTTTAAAAAACATATCCTAGTATCAATGAGTTGCTACAAAATAATCCAGAATATGGCTAGGGAGAAGGGTGACAGAAACAGGACAGTAAATGGAGGCATAGAATGAGATAAAATTGCCTGGGTTAATAATTACTGAAGTTGGTAATACTGTTATATGAGTACTAGCAAATTCATTATAATAGTCTCTTTACTTTAAATTTTTTTCCATTAAGGAGAGAAATAAATAAAAACTTCACTACAAAATGTATTAAAAATTTACATTCTTAGGAACCAACAGTTGGCATAATGGCTATGTCGCTGAACTCCCATGTAGTCGACCACGGTTTGAATCCCAGACACAGTGGCTTAAACTCACGCCGGACGCATGTGTGTGCATGCCAAAGATCCCAAAGAGAATGGAGGAGAAGGGATTACGATGTGGCCATTCCTCCTGGGGGGAGGTAATTTCTCGCTCTCTATCTCTCTGGCAAGCATACGTACCCTATAGCAAAAACCTCTCCAAAAAATAAAAATAAAATTTACATTCTCAGCAAAGATCCACATGTCCAAAAAACAAAATTTATCCTAAACAATATAAAGAGAAACATATTTATAACTCTTAAGATATTCAAAAGAAGATACATTCTTCTCATTATCATTACTGTAGGAAAAAACTATATTCACTGATAGAATTTATTGGAAAATGCTCAATTTACTTATCCTAAGTGAATTTGTAAGGACATACTTTTGACTCACTTTGGAACCCAAGTGAAAATATGCATGCATTACCATCAGTGAACTTGGTTTTCTAATTCAAAATGAACAACTTCTAAGTATTAAGAATATATGATACAGATATATACACTAGTATGTGATATATATGTGTGTGTGTGTGTGTGTGTGTGTGTGTGTGTGTGTGTGTGTGAGATTTGATAGCAGTAGAGTATAAATACATACACATATGGTTTGACAAAGGTATAGGTAAACTGCTTACAAAGTCAAAAAAGTCTGTGAACATTTTAAATTTAAAAATGAAAATACTGATACCTGGTCATCATCATAGTTAGGATCTTTCACATCCACCTCCTCCACATCATATACCTGTCCAGGTGTACCCCAAACACCTTTGCCTCCTGCACCACCTGAAAAAGTTTAGAATTGGAAAAGGATAGAGTACAAAATTCATAGTTCATAAATAATTATTTTAATTGAAATCTGAAGTAATTCTAAATGTTCAGATTTTTTTTTTTTTTTTTTTTTTTAAGGTGCGTGCGCTCACCAGAAAGACAGAGAGAGACAGAAAGACAGAAAGTGAGAAATCAACCCCCAGGGATGATGTCCATGCCGCAATCCCTTCTCCTCCATTCTTCTCTCGGGATCTTGGGCACGCACACACATGCGCCCGGCGTGAGTTTAAGCCACCAGGTCTGGGACACGAACCACGGTCGACTACGTGGGAATCCAGTGACATAGCCATTACGCTAACTACTGGTCCCTAAATGTTCAGATATTAAATGACTTCTAAAAAATGTACTTTGGGGATCAGTCTGTGATGTGGTTATAAGTGGCTGGATCCCAGATAGCCAACTACACAGTTTAAGTCCTGAACTTAGTTTGGAGACATGCAGGGTGTATGTGCATGCATGCCCAAAATTCCAACAGAATACAGAAGGCAGGATTGTGGTGTGGCCATCCTCCTTGGTGGATGCTCTCTCTGTGCCCGTACCCGTCTTTCTCCAGTGAGCACTCAAGCAATATGGCAATTTTTTTTAAATTCTTTTTTATTTATTTGTTTTTGACAGGGCAAGAGAGAGAAAGGGAAAGTGAGAAAGCAACACCAGGTCTGAGATTTGAACCACAGTGGGACATATGGGAGTCCAGCACCCTTAACCATTATGCCACCTGCTGGTATTAAGAATGTATTTTAGTGGGGCTGGCAGGTGACATGGTGATTAAGGGCGCTAAACTCCCACATGACCAACTGTGGTTCGAGTCCCAGACCTGGCAGTTTGCCTTCTCACTTTATCTCTCTGTCGCTCCCTGGTCAAATTAAAATAAATAAATAAATAAAGTTAAGCAGTTCTTAAAAAACAGTATTTTAGTTTCTACGCTAATTTTTTTTTTTCTAGTTAAGAATTATACTTTAGGGGCAAGCAAGTGGCATGGTGGTTAAAGTGCTAGCCTCCCACATGGCCGAACACAGTTTGAGTCCCACATCTGACATCTTGCTTTCTCACTTCCCCTTTCTCTTTCTCTTTATGGTCAAGTTAAAAATAACAACAAATAAAATTAAATAAATAAAAAATTCTTTTTTAAAAAAGAATTATACTTTAAACTCCTTTTTATTCTGATCACTTTTTCAATAATTGTATATATTTCACAAGGTACTTCCTAAAACATCAAGTTGAAATAGCTTACAAAGTTAAAAACTAAAAAGGTAAAAGAAATGTTGTACACTGTGAAGATGTGATTAAATGTAAATAAATTAATTTAAACAAAAACTAAAAAGGTAAATACTTTTTTTTTTTTGGAGAGGCTTTTGTTATAGGGCACATGTACTTGCCAGAAAGAGAGAGAGACAGAGACAGAAAGCGAGAAATCACCCCCTTGGGGGAGGGGATGGCCACACCACAATCCCTTCTCCATTCTCCTCTGGGGATCTTGGGCACGCACACATAGGCACTGGGTGTGGAGTTTAAGCCACGGGGTCCGGGACTTGAACCTCAGTCGACTACATGGGAGTCCGGCGACGTAGCCATTATGCCAACTGCAGGTCTCAGTAAATACCTTTTTAAAAAGCAAAACCAAAGAAAAAATCTAAATAGCTATATCAAAGACCTAGAGGGAGGTTATAATGGGAGTTGAACTCTAAATTTTATTTGACATTCTTGGTAACAAAACAAAAAGAAATGTGTGGGTCTGTAAAATATAGTACAGGAAACGAGAAAAATTATTTGACATAGAAACAGTGCCCAGGGGCCGGCAGGTGGCGTGGTGGGCGCTGGACTCCCACATGGCTGACCAAAGTTCAAGTACCAGACCTGGTGGCTTGCTTTCTCACTTTCTCTCTCTTTCTCACTCTTCCCCTCTCTTGTCAAATTAAAATAAACAAACAAATAAAAGTGAAATAAAATAATTCTAAAAAAGTAGAAGGAATTTAGGAGAACTTCTTTAAAAAAAAAAAAAAAAAGAAACAGTACCCATGTCAAATGTTATAAAACCTAATACTACAAATATAAAAGTATGTATCAAACTAAATTTTGTAACCAGCAATGTTACAAATAATAGTTATTTCAAGCATATCAACACTAATAATTATCTCTCTACTTCTATACATAAAACAAGTAATAGAAGTTTAATAATTCTAACTTTCAAAGTCGCTTTTCTGTATACATTTACTGAAATGTTTTTATAAACACCAACATACTATATTAAAGAACCCATACAATTTCACCAATAATTGCTTCTTTGGGGGGAGGGTTCTGCATCTAGAATATAATCTTTGCCAACAGAATGAAACAGAATCTGACAAGTGGGTTTTTTGTTTGTTTGTTTGTTTTAAAAAGAAAGCGTTTCACTGGTCATAATACTGCTTCCGTCTCCCACCTCGAACTACAGTACCACCAGACCCAGCTCTTTTAGACAGGGTCTCACTATGTTGTCAGGCCCTCTCGAAATGACAACCCTCCCACCTCAGCCTTCTGAGTTGCTAGGAGACCAGCCTTTAAGTTTCATTTTGTTTCAAACAATGATTATAGGTTATTCAACAAAAGTAATTTCTGACACACCACAAAAACATTTTGCAAGAAGCTTACTCTGTAAGATGAAGCTCCCACAAGTTGGAAGATGATAAAGTCTCCAACTGGTACTGAAATCCTGGAACCTACAAAAGCTGATAGCTCCCCCATTCAACGAATATGGAAGTGCCTACACCATGTGCTAGGCACTACTCCAGCCATTAGAAATACAGCAGCAAAACAACCAATTTATTCCAATACCAAAATGGATAGAGCCAAAGAAATCTCTGAACTGTATCTATGAAAACAAAATTTAGAGCCACCTGTGGCATGGTAATTAAAACAACTGGATCCTGCATGGTCAACCATATGGTACAGTGGCCTGAGAAACATACCCGGCACGTGTGCATACATGGCCAAAATCTGAAAAGGGAAAAATGAAGGTGAGGCGACTGCAGCATGGCTGTTCCTCATAGGGGGTGCTTTCTCACTTCCTCTCTCTCTCTCTTTCCAGTGAGCACACATACTCTCTGGCAAAAAGTATGCACGTATGAAAATATAAATAAAATGATAAAATTCTGATCCAGAAATTACCAATCAAGTTTATACTTATATTCTTAACAAGAGACATGGAGTCATAGACGAATATGATGAATTTCTGACTCTGCTCATTTCAAAGGTAGAGAGTATATGGGGACCAGCAGTTAGCGTAATGGCTATGTCGCTGGACTCCCACGTAGTCGACCGCGGTTCGCATCCTGGACCCGGTGGCTTAAAACTCACGCTGGGCTCATGTGCATGCGTGCCCAAGATCCCGAGAGGAGAATAGAGGAGAAGGGATTGCGGCGTGGCCATGCCCCCTGGGGGGTGATTTCTTGCTTTCTGTCTTTCTGTCTCTCTCTCTCTCTCTCTGGCGATCACACGCGCCCTATAGCAAAAACCTCTCCAAAAAAAGAAAGGTAGAGAGTATATGCACAATTCCTAACTGAAGAAGTGTTTACTTTGCTCAAGAAAACAAAACCTATTCAAACAAAAAAAGGAAGATCAACCTAAAGAAAAAGTGGAATGGTTATCAATTTATCACTGTGTAAAAATATATATTTCATATTATCAGTGTTTTGTTTCTCTCATTCCTAGAACAAGGAAATCACAGTACAAGAATCAACTTTTTTTTCATTTGTTTCTTGAACCTCTCTCTCTCTCTTTCCAGTGAGCACACATACTCTCTGGCAAAAAGTATGCACGTATGAAAATATAAATAAAATGATAAAATTCTGATCCAGAAATTACCAATCAAGTTTATACTTATATTCTTAACAAGAGACATGGAGTCATAGACGAATATGATGAATTTCTGACTCTGCTCATTTCAAAGGTAGAGAGTATATGGGGACCAGCAGTTAGCGTAATGGCTATGTCGCTGGACTCCCACGTAGTCGACCGCGGTTCGCATCCTGGACCCGGTGGCTTAAAACTCACGCTGGGCTCGTGTGCATGCGTGCCCAAGATCCCGAGAGGAGAATAGAGGAGAAGGGATTGCGGCGTGGCCATGCCCCCTGGGGGGTGATTTCTTGCTTTCTGTCTTTCTGTCTCTCTCTCTCTGGCGATCACACGCGCCCTATAGCAAAAACCTCTCCAAAAAAAGAAAGGTAGAGAGTATATGCACAATTCCTAACTGAAGAAGTGTTTACTTTGCTCAAGAAAACAAAACCTATTCAAACAAAAAAAGGAAGATCAACCTAAAGAAAAAGTGGAATGGTTATCAATTTATCACTGTGTAAAAATATATATTTCATATTATCAGTGTTTTGTTTCTCTCATTCCTAGAACAAGGAAATCACAGTACAAGAATCAACTTTTTTTTCATTTGTTTCTTGAACTCGAGGTATACCAACCTTTCTTTGGTAGTCCCCTTCCTTTCCCGGATCTGGACCGCCTATCCAGCAACCTTCCCTTTGGACTGGCTGGTACAGATCCTCCACTTCTAAGGGCTTCACTTCCATTATCACTGACAGAATCGCCTCTGCCAGAGTCCCGGGATGAGTTTTTCCGTAGTCGTCTTTTTGCCTTGGCATTAATTCTAGCTTCATTAATGGAGGATGCTGAAATCCAATTTCCATTTATTTCATTCTTTATTTCCTCAGTCCCAGCATTATCTTCATCACCAGAAAAAAGAGAGTCACTTAAATGATCAGGATCTTAAAGAGAAAAATGAAGAAAATTCTAAGTACCTTATCCCTTGAGAGAGAGCAATACACTGGGAGTTCCCAATGCTCCTCCTCCTTGGAATGTCATCCTCACTGCTCTCTTAAGTTACTAGTACTTTAGGATATAGGTTCAAGTCTTCCTCCCTCCACGAAAGCTTTCCTAACAACTGTAGCTATGGTTAACACCAATATTCACACACCATTCATTTAACACATCACGAAAATCTTCATTTCTTTTTATATAGCACTCTTGCTTTTCCAAAGAAGTCATAAGCTTCCAAGAAGGAACCATGACTACATGGAACTTCTTCGCATCCCCAGCACCTAGCAGGGTATCCTTCATAACGCCAACTCTAATGTCCATGAAGATCACAGAGATACTTAGCTCAGCTCTCAAAACATTTTAGGACAGAGAGGCTACTGAATTAATTAAGTCAGAACCTGAATCACTCCAACAGTCTGAAATATGCCTAAATATAATCTGTCAGGACTATGTGCATGGGCTTTCACATACGTTAAGATATGGTGACAGGCCGCCCAGTGGCCTTGTGGTTAAGGTACATTGACGACCACCGTTTACATCCTGAAACTAGTACCTTGAGAAGCATGCCAGGTATATATGCATGTGTGCCCCAAATCCCAAGAGAATGCAGAATGGACTGCTACATGGCCACGACCCCAGTGTGGAGGGACGCTTTCTCATTTTCTTCCCTCCCCTCCCTCCGCGCCTCACCTCTAGCAAGCATATGTGCCCTATAGCAAGTGGGAAAAAAAAAGTTGAAACTAAAATTTTAATTAACCTATAAAAAATGCTTTAAAACCTTTATAATTTTCTTATTATTATTTTATTTTATTTATTTATTTTAATTTGACCAGAGAGGGACATAATAGGAGGGGGGAGAGAGAAGGCATGTCATCAAGTCCGGGACTCAAACTGTAGTCGACAATGTAGGAGTCCAGTGTCCTTAATCGCCACACCACCTGCCAGCCCCAAAACCTTTATAATTCTTGACAAAAAGTATAAAAGTTAGGGACACTGTCATAATTAAAAAACAAAAAACATTAAGTAGAGTCAAATTATTTCATCTCAAAAGCAGTCTCCCTGTATGCATTCAGTCTATAAATCATTCTCCCAAAGTGAATTAAGACTTTTCTTTCTTTTTTTCTTTTTTTTTTTTCTTTAGGGTTTTGCCACAGAGCAGGGACGCTTACTAGAGATAGACACAGTGAGAGGGGAAGTGAAAAATCATTCCCTTGGGAGGATGGCAATGCTGCAATCCCTTCTCCTCTATCCTCCTCCCTGGGATTTTGAAAACACACACACGCACACACACACACACACACACACACACACACACAGCATCGTCTTCAAACTGACAGGTCCAGGATTCAAACTGCAATCAGCCATATGGGAGTTCAGCGTCTTAGCCACCATGCCACTTGCTGGTCCCGAGACCTATTTTTTAAATCATGTTCCTACCGAAAACCCTTTAAGGGTATTCCCATTCTGTCAAAATAAAGTATAAATTCTTTACCTTGTAACTGCTTACTTCCCCAGAATTACTGCTTATCGCTCCCACATTCAAATGATCCAGGCTTAGATTGGATATTATAGGTGGGAAGATTACTTTGGTAGAATATAGAATATATCAGAAAAAAAGGGCTGCCAGGTGGTGTGGTGGTTAAGGGCGCTGGAATCTCATATGGCCAAATGCAGTTCTATTCCCAGACTTGGCAGCTTGCTTGCTCACTCTCTCTCTCTCTCTCTCTTTCTGTACCTCTCTGCTCAAATTAAAATAAAGTTAAATAAAATAGTTCTTAAAAAGTATACATATTGGGGTAAAAGAAGAGAAAGCATAATGTGGGAGAGCAACTAAGAAAAATGTGACAGTAATTCAATCACAAGACAACTGGAAAAGGGCAAGGGTAGTAATGGTGGAATAAATAATTATGTGACACTTTTTAAAAAATTTTATTTATTCATTCATTTTATTTTAATCTGATCAGAGAGAGACAGAGGGAAAGTGAGAAAGCAAGCCGCCAGGCCCAGGACTTGAACCGTGGTCAGTCATGTGGGAGTGTCCAGCACTTTAACCACCATGCCACCTGCTGGCCCCATAATGTAACACTTTCAAAGAAAGACAAAAAAAAGGCTTACAAACAGAAGAGATGCAAGATGTGAGAGTGAAACGGGGGGCCAGCAGGTGCCATGGTGGTTAAGGCTGCTGGACTCCCACACGGCCAATTGCAGTTTGAGTCCCAGACCTGGTGGCTTGCTTTTTCACTTAACCTCTCTCTCTCTTTCACTCTGTCCCTCTCTGATCAGATTAAAATAAATAAAGTTAAAATAAAATTTTAAACGAGTGAAACAGGCTAGGATCAACAGATGGCATAATGGCTATGTGGCTGAACTCCCACCTAGATGACCACCGTTCGAGTCCTGGACCTAGTGGCTTAAAACTCACACCAAACATGTGTGTACATGTGTGCCCAAAATCCCAAGAGGAGATGAAGGAGAAGGGATTGTGGTGTGGTCACGTCCCCCCCACCCACCCCAGGGGTGATTTCTTACTTTCTGTCTCACCAATGAGCATGCACGTGCCCTATAGCAAAAATCTCTCTAAAAAAAAAAAAAAAAAGGGGAAAAGGGGCCACCCTAAACACGAGGCGGTAACAAACAATGCACAGAGGAAGCCAAATCTCACCAGGATTCAAGTTCTGGTGCCCATAGTTTTTTTTTTTTTAAAAAAAAAAAAGCCATCCCTGTGCTCAGGATCCTGACACGATGGAGGACTGGGGGGAAACGACTACAGTGTGACAGATCCAGCTGGGGAAAGCACACACGCGTGTTCTCGCACCTTCTCTCTCGAGCACACACATAGGTGCCTGTGAAATGATTTCTTACAAGTTTCTGAACTGGGAGGAAGCCAGAGTTAGGGGATGTGTCTGGCACATCATCATAACTAAACTAGTAGGAGTTACAGCAGTAATTGAGTACTACTCCTACTTCTTTTATTACCATTACCATCATACTATTAGGTCAACAAGAAAGTCATGACATATTTTTCTGTTTTTCTATGTAAAAATGTGTCAAAACTTTCCTGACAACCCACCAGGTTCTATGCTGGGCACCTTACATACGTCGTCTATAAGCCTTACACAGCCCTATAAAAATAGTTGTTCATCCTCATTTTACAAAAAAATGTGTTTGCTAGAAAGTTTCATATCGAGCCCAGCAGGTGACATAGTGGTTAAGGTGCTGGACTCCCACATGGTCAACCATGGTTCAAGTCCTAGCCTCAGAGACTTGAAACTCATACCAGGCACATGTGTGTGACCAAAATCCTGAGGAACATAAAGAGAAGCGACTGCACCAGAGTGGCCATCTCCCCGAAGGGTGATATCTCGCTTTCCCTCTCTCTCTCTATCTCTGTCTCTGGTGAGCACATGTGCCCTATAACAAAAATCCCTCTTAAAAAAAGAAAAGAAAAAAATAAAAAAGAAAAGAAAAATTACAAAAAGAACTACAGCCAGGATTCAAAAGTACATTTTGACATTCATGTAACTATAAGAAATGCTAAGCTAGAATACAGCATAGTGCTGACAGCTAAAAAACAGAGAGGATGAAAAGGGGAGTGAATGTAAAATAAAAATAAACAAAGTTAAAGGAAAAGAGACAGAAAGACCAGAGATCCCACAAAGTAGTCTTCATATAAGAGTGGTTAATTGTGAAAAACATTAAACATCTATCAGTAATATACTGTTTTCATTATTCTACCATTAAGGTAAACTACAAAACTGGTCCAGAAGAAGGACTTACAACTGTAATAAAACATTTTAAGTTATCCCGTGGAGTATTGAAGTATTATTTAAAATCTATCTCTGTCCCACTCTTGACTTTCTTTAACTGTTAATGGCCTTCCAAACATGTCTGCCTACAGGAGTACACGTTCTCTCTAGGTCTACTTTTATATATTTGATGTTATCATTTTTAACACATTTAGATCAACTGCTTTGTTACATGTTGCTATTCATACATAAGTTTTGGCAGTCCATAACCACTATTCACTGACTTGAAGAAAACCACCATTAAAAGGATTAAAAAAAAATTTAGTATAGGGACCAGCAGTTGGCGTAATGGCTATGTCACTGGACTCCCATGTAGCCAATCATGGTTCGAGTCCCAGATCCGGTGGCTTAAACTCACGCTGGGCACATGTACATGTGTGCCCAAGATCCCAAGAGCAGAATGGAGAAGGGATTGCAGCGTGGCCATCCCCCTGGGGCGCAATTTCTTGCTTTCTGTCTCTCTATCTCTCTCAGTCTTTCTGGCAAGTGCACACACCCTATAGCAAAAACCACTCAAAAAAAAAAAAAAGGAGTTCAGTATAAAATGTGATGGCTTCAAAACTGGTTTCTCTTAGTAATTCCTTCTTTCTGAATTCTCTGACATCTCAATGACATCTCAATGGTTCCATTTCAATGGTAATCATAGCACTAGACAATCAATTATTGGTGTTCGATTATTAGAGTAACATTAGCACAACTTCATATATTTACATATCTAATAAGGGCTATAAGATGGACATATCTACATATCTCATTAAATACTAACCATTAATCTACATAGATTACTCACATCTCAGGTTTTTTTAGTTTATTTATTTCTTCCATGGGCATGCACGAAAGACTCTCTCCCAACAGTCTGAATACCAGTGGGATCCACTCCCGGCCTTAAACCATATCCAGTCATGAGCAAGCATGTGCCGGCATGTTCGGGGAGGTCTCCAGACTTGAATGGGAAACTCTCTATTTGGACTGCCTCACCCGAGCACCACATTTTAATAACGACACACATTTTCTAAGAATTTTTGAACACTCCTCATAAAGACAGACCAGCAATGATGGTGTGGCAGCGACACGGCATTCCACAAAGAAAGACCACATCTGAGAGGAGAGGTCTTAAGTTTTTATCTCCAGGCTTCTCTGTGCACTCTAGGAAGACCCATGTATGTAGAAGTCACGACCTTGGCATGCCGAGGCTAGAAGCAGATTGTGACATTGGGAGTTTCTGTCTGTCTCTCCCTCTCTTTCTCTTGGAGAAAATAAGCAAATAAAAATTTGAGAAAAATGTAAAAAGTTTTGGGACAAGCAGTTGACATAATGGCTATGTCGCTGAACTCCCATGTAGTTGAATGCGGTTCGAGTCCCGGACCCAGTGGCTTAAACTCCTGCTGGGCACTATGTGTGCATGCCCAAGATCCCAAGAGGAGAATGAAGGAGAAGGGACTGTGGCGTGGCCATCCCCCCCGGGGGGTGACTTCTCACTTTCTATCTCTCTGTCTCTCTCTGTCTTTCTGACGAGCACACAAACCCTATAGCAAAAACCTCTCCAAAAAAATTTTTTTTTAAATGTGAAAAGCGTTTTAGGGGCCAGTTAATGGCGTAGTGGTTAAGGTACTGGATCCCATGTAACTGACCCTGTGGTGTGAGTTCCGGTCCCTGGAAGCTTGAGAAACACTGGGTGAGTGCGCATTCGTGCCCCAAATCCTGAGATGACAATGAAGAAGGGATTACTGCACAGCCATTCCCCTCTGGGGGTAACTTCTCACCTTCCCTCTCTCTCTTGTCTCTCTTGGTGAGTGCATGCGCCCTATAGCAAAAACTAAAAAAAAAAAAGTAAAAAAGTTTTACTATATTTTCATTGAATACGGAATATTTAATGAAAGTCTGCAGCTTGCTCTCAAGACAAAGTTCAAGATATTACTTACCTGTGGGGTTTACATTCAGTATCTGTTCATTTTCTATGTCCATTGTTTCTTAATTTCACTTGCACTGATTAAATGAATTACCAAATGGAAGTCTTCCTTAAGGATCTATTTTTTAAAGAAGAAAACAAAAGCTTTAGTATTTTCTAAATGTAAAGTAAATGCAATTTGCTTAAGTACAGTATTTAAAAAATATATATTTCCATTCTAAAAAAAAAAAGAGATCACTTCACTTTCAAAGATTACTTATCCTAATTAACATTTTGGTTCTAATCCTCTTGATAAATTTGTCTGAGTCCAAAAAAGCACCCAGATTTTAGCATGCACCAAAGCACCCATTCTACTTAGAATTTTAAAATATATTTGCAGGCCAGCCAGTGGCACTGTGGTTAGAGTGACTGGTTCCCACATTGCTGACTTAGTGGTTTGAGTTCCTGACTTGGCAGCCTGAGAAACACCAGGCGTATATGCATGTATGCCCAAAATCCTGAAACAAGGGGAAAATGGAGAAGGGACTATGGTATGACCATTCTCCAAGGGGATGTGCTTTCTTGCTTTCCCTGGCCCCTGCAAGCACCATCTGACAAAATTTTTAAAAAATAAATAAAAAAGTGTATGTTTATTCCTAATTAAAGAAATAAACACATGCACATACCTCAAATCTTTGAGGAATATCAAGTCTCAAAATTAATATGATATATAGGAACATAACATTGGAAAGTTCTCCATCAGCAGTATGAGAACTGTTTCAAAATGTGAATAACACACTTTTGGTCAATCAAGAATGTCAAAATTGTATTATTTTCAAAATTACATATATCTGAAGGCAGACATTTGCTATTTCATTACCTATGTCTCTATAATTACTATTTTAAGACTTTGAGATTGGGGAGACATTTTTAAAATCAGTTTGTTCTATAATGAGAATTATGTTTATAATTTTAAAAATCCATTATTTTATAAAATCTGGACCTATTTTAGAAGACATAAATACAATGACATAAGTAACTTAGTATTTTAGACTTCATTTTCTTTTTTAAAATTTTTTCTTTTTAAGTATTATTTATCAGGGTCAGCAGGTGGTGTGGTGGTTAAGGGCACTGGACTCCCACATGGCAGACCGTGGTTTGAATCCCAAACCTGGTGGCTTGCTTTCTCACTTTCTCTCTCTTGTTCCCGGGGAGGGAAAGTGAGAAAGCAAGCTGCCAGGTCTGGGACTCGAACCACAGTCAGCCATACGGGAGTCCAACGCCCTTCACCAACACACTACCTGCTGACTCTGTAGACTTCACTTTCAAAATGACTTAAGAATTATCGATGCTAGGTTTTGGAAAAGTTTGTTACCTCTTATTTCTACTATTAGTGATACAGATCCAATGTTACTTGAAAGAAAAAAACATCAAAATAGTTCTCATGAAAATATCTTTTTTAGAGAATTATTTTATTTAACTTTAATTTGAGCAGAGAGGGACAGAGTGAGAGTGAGAGAGAGAAAGTGAGAAAGCAAGCTGCCAGGTCCGAGACTCAAACCACGGTTGGCCATGTGGGATTGTCTAGCACCTTAACCACCACGCCCCGTGCTGGTCCCATCTCTGGAAATATTTTTAAAATAATGGTTTAGAATACTTCGGTGTCCGGCGGTGATGTGGTGGTGAAGTTAGCTGGATCCCACTTGCCCAACTGTGTAGTTCAAGTCCTGAACCCAGTGGCTTAAGAAGTACACCTGGTTCGTGTGCATGTGTGCCCAGAATCACAAAAAGGAGAGAGAAATAGAGAAAGGGCTGCACATGAACACTGCCCATGGAGGGTGCTTTCTCACTTCCTTTTTCTCGCACTCTCTTTCTGTCTCCCCCGGCAAGTGCATGCACCCTCTGACAAATTTAAAACAAAAATTTAAAAAGTTTTAAAAGCCTCAAAATAATGAGTGCTTAAGTTTTTATCTGTTTAAGTCGTACAGGATGGCTTGGTCCTTCCAGTCATTTATAATTTCACCAGCAGGGCACACTTGAGATATAAAATGCAAAGACTAGTGAAAATGGGTAATTATAGAAAAGTATATTTTAAGTAAGAATCTACTGATAGATGTCATATTAGGATAATAATGATATGTGATGCTCCCTGGGGCTCATGAGGTGAAATTAACTCTTAAATTATTCAATATATACTATTATTTGTTAACATTTTCTAAGTTTATGCCTTTTTTTCCCCCAGAAAATGGCATTATTTTATAAAAGAAAAACAAGTACACGTATGCTAAAATTATTAAGCTTCTTAAAATGACTTATTCTTTAGACTACTATGATACTCTCACATTGCTTCAAAAGTTAAGAAAACAGTGGTATCACTAATTCTATTCAGAATAAAAAAATTGACACATGATTTTGTATAATCGCTGCCAGGATTCAAATCATAGTCAAACATGTGGGCTCCAGTTCCTTCAACCACTAGGATATGGGCTGGCCATTAGGTTCTTGGTACAAGTAACATCTTTGATAGAAAAGTTTCTGCAGAACCTAGCTAATAAAGGAAGTGAAATGATTATAACTGATGTTTGTAATTTCAAAAGAATTTCCTTTTTTCATGTGCTCATGGGGTCACAAGAAATACAAAAAAAGGGGGGGGGACATCACCCAGGGGTATAGTCATGCAATCTTTTCTCTTTCATTCTCTTCTTGGAATTTTGGTCACACATGCCCAATGTGGTTTTCAAGCCACTAGGTCCAGAACTCAAACTACACAGTTGGCCATGCAGAATCCGGTTGCCCCCAAAAACGATTTTACATGCATTATTCCATGTACCTCACAGGACAATATTGAAATAGCCATTCCACTATGTGTACAATTAAACATATTAAGAGAATAAACGATCTGTTCAAGGATAGCTTGGACCCAGACCTTCTAAATCCAACATACCACTTATTTTCTTTTTGAGGTTTTTGCCATAAGACACATGCACTCACTGGAGAGGAGAGAGACAGAGAGAGGGAAAGTGAAAATTCACCCCCAGGAGGATGGCCACACTGTAATTTCTTCTTCTCCTGGAATTTTGGGCACACACACACACCCCTGGCATGATTGTCAAGCTACCAAGTCTGGGACTTGAACCATGGTCCACCTTGTAGAAGCTCAGTACCATAACCACCATGCCACCTGCTGGCCCTTCAATACAACACGGGAAGATACCCCATGGGAAGATTCTTTTTCAGGATTAACAGAAACATTAAAACAGACTTCTATAGTTACATAAAAATTTACATACTACTTTGCAAACATTAAAAATAATTATTTTAAGCTATTAAAGACATTTGGTTGGCAAAATAAATTATCAGGTTTTGACTCTCATCTACAACATACTAAGTCTACTTTTATTAAGTAATCCTAAATAAAAAAAAATGTCCTGAGTCTTAATTCATCCAAAACCTCAGTCACACTTGACAGCAATGAAGACATTTTAAAATAATAAAGATATGTTCTACGTTTTTATAATCTTCAAAGTTGTAGGATTTTTATTTGACAATCCTTAAGATTCTTGCCACAGACTTAAGAAAATGTAAAGCAAACTATCTAAACCCCATTCCTTCATACTAACCTAAACATTTTTAACAAGAAAACAGAACTATGGTTTTTTTTTTATTTAATTAGGGTTGCAATTAAGCAACAAAAACTTACATCAAAAGTACCTAACTGCCAAGATGGTCCCAAATTCTCTAAAAGAACCTCACAAAAAAAAAAAAAAAAAAAGGAAAAAGAAAAAAAAGATGTCCTGAAATATACTTCATAAATTACTCTGACATTTATGGAGTTAAGTTTAGATCTTATGTTAACTAGAAAATTACTTCTACTCATTCCTGGGCTACAATCGGAGCTAATTAACAACTTCCAAGCAGCTGAAAGCATTCTACCACCAAAATGCAAACATGAACACTACTGAAAATATAAAGTGACATTTACTTCTGTAATCCTTACACATTACTACTACAGAAAAACTAGTCAAATTACAATGCAATGATGTTTACTAAGATATTAAGGAATTCAAAAAACGCATAATGAAGAAATATTAAAGGCATAAACGCCAATAATTAAATTTGGAACATATCTGCAGTGGTCCCCTTTTTTAAAAAACACATATGGTGGTTTCCCAAAAAGTCTTGCATTAACAAGAATGCCAAAATTCTAAAAATTAACGGTAAAAATACAAGTCGAAACAGTAGGAAATTAACCCCCCCCAACACAAACACACTCCAGCCGCATATTTAATCGTTTTAATCATCTTTAGACATCACACAGCTGCTGACTACGTAGGCAGTTCTCACAAGGGCATGGGGGATATGGGCAATACTGACGCCCGCAGTTCTGAAGCTCCTGCAAAAACTCCATGTACGTTACAGCACTAGACTGACAAACGCAGCAGACGCAGTGTGCGTTTCCCAGAACGCGGGTTCCCTTTCAGCCTTTGTTTTCTCCGAGAGAGTATTTTACTTAAACTAAGAGAGCCCCTTGGCCGAACTGGCACAGCTTAGCTCGCTCAGGGCCGGGGCGGCGGGCACGTGTCCGCTTCCCAGCGCCGCCGCCCTCCGCTCGGCCTCTCCCTGCAGCAGGCCCAGACCCCCGACGCCCCCGGGACGGGCTAGTCCGGGGTGCGCCGCGGCCACCGGGGTGCAGCGGTGGGCCCGAGTCTGGAAACGTCGGACCGGAGCCGCATCTTCAGAAGACCTCCCCGCCAAGGGATGCCAGGCGGACAGAGGGGGCACCAACCTCCCTCTCGGGGGTTCGACCTCGCAGAAGACGCCCCCCTCCAAATTAAACCTACCCTGGAGGAGGGCGGGGAGGTGAGGGGCGGCCCCTCCCCAGCGAGCGCCCCGCGAGCCCCCACTAAACGGGGAGGGGGCGGGCCCGCGCCACCGCGCTCGGGCCTCGGCCCAGGAGGGAACACGGGCCAGCCCGCAGTCGGGCGTTGGAGACTGAGCGGCCGGGCCCGCGAGGCGTCCGA